TTAGCTGATATCCTAATGACTACCTTCGAGGATGAAATTGTGAGACCACTAATATCCTCTAACATAATCAAATTCTACTCACGTTATGTAGACGACACACTAGTACTGATTAGACCATCTGACATACCTATAGTACTACAAAAATTCAATTCTTTTCACCCACAAATTCAATTTACACACGAAGAATTCACTGACAATAACGACATTCACTTCCTTGACATCAAAATCTCTTCCTCGGGCACGTCAATTTATCGCAAGTCAACACACACTGGTCAATATGTCCATCTCTCCAGTTTCACTCCTTGGTGCAGAAAAACAGCATGGCTTAGATCACTTGTCTATCGCGCACATAAGATATGCAGTAACAGCGTGTTACTCAAAACTGAACTGCAGAACATTGCCCAATTTGCGTCATGGAATGGTTACCCCCGTCGTCTGGCAAATAAACTCATAGAGTCCTTCACACTAAAGCCAAGCCCGATTGACAACACCATCATCACCATCAACACCGAAGACAGTGTCACAGACCCTCCCAAGATCTGGATTCATCTACCATTCATTGGTAAAAGAGGAAACACGTTAATTAAATCCTGCACCACTAAACTAACACGCTTGCTGAAACGACGCGCTCAATTCATCATTATTTACGACACCACCAGCACTAACACCTTCCTAAGCATGAAAGACCGGACTCCTAAAGAACTACAAAGCAGTGTAGTTTACAAATTTAGTTGCCCTGGATGTAAAGCTTCCTACATCGGAAAGACAGATCGCTGTCTGATGACAAGGCTAAAAGAGCATGCCCGCAGTAAAGAATCAGAGATTTACAAACACATAAATTCATGCGAACACTTCCTGTATTATAGAACGCTATTTAGTCTTCCTCATACACTATTTAATCTAGACGACTTCACTTCTGAATCAATTATTTTCAACAACTGTAGGATAATAGACAAATCCAGACATTGGTCTTTATTACTTTTTAAAGAATCTCTATATATTCATCGCCAGAGACCGGAAGCTAAACTGACTGCAAGCTAGTCGAAACGTCGAATCAAAATGTTAACCGTTTTCGGAGTGTCCATTGTTTTGTATTTTTTAGAAAGCAATATGTAAAATATAACGGAGTACAATCTGAAGAAATGACTATCACAAGCGGTGTGCCACAAGGATCAGTTTTAGGTCCTGTATTATTTCTCTTATACATAAATGATATTCAATATTGCAGTAAATTGGTTTCAATTATATTATTTGCCGATGACACTAACATACTGTATAGCGATGTTTGTCTCAAAACTTTAAACGAAACTATTTAAGTTGAAATGAACAAAATTACAGATTGGTTGAATGTTAATAAATTATCTATAAACACTGCGAAAACCAAGCTGATCCTTTTCAGATCAAAAAATAAGAAACCTAAATGTGATTTAAGAATTTCTGTAAATAGCGAAACTATAAAACAAGTAAAAAAAACTACGTTTTTTAGGGATTGTTATAGATGAATTTTTATCATGGTGCGATCATATAGATCTTATTTCAAAAACAATTATCAAATGTACAGCTATTATATCCAGAATACGACATTTTACAAACCTAAATTCCTTATAAAACTGACCTATTACGCATTGGTCTATCCATATCTTATATACTGTAATTTAGTTTGGGGTAACGCTTACAAATCCCACATTCAAAAATTAGTAAATATCCAGAAAAAGATAGTAAGATTAATGACCTTCAAATCCTATTTTGACTGAACTGAAATGAACCAATTTTTAATGACCTTAAAATACTAAACTTGTATAAGTTGAATGACTTCTTAACAAGTCTATTTATGTTCCGATCTCTGTGTTCCGATATTTTCATCTACAAAATCTTCCAGAAATTTTTGATAAATATTTTTTAACTAACAAATAAATCCATAATTACAACACAAGAAACGCATCATTGCTCCACAAAAGTTGTACTAGAACAAATTATAAAAAACACACGTTCGGTAATAACGGCATCGATGTGTGGAATAATCTTCCGACGCAATATAAGCAAATTAGATCTCTTCTAATATTTAAATCTACAATGAAAATATATTTTCTTCTGTCAAATTTAAATAAGTAGAATTCTTGCCACAAAGTGAAAAGCCAAATAATTGTTATAGTCTGATATATCTTTTACGCACTTTCCTTATTGTAAATATATTACCGTAATTCCTTTGAAAACAATTGGACTGGTATTAACTTTTATAAAATAACATGTATATAACGCGTGTTCTGATTGGTCGAAACCCGTGTTTGGATCAGGCCATCCAAACACGGAAGACTATCGTGTTGTTGTTATTTTATAAAACAATTACTTTATGGTTTCCGTGTTTGGATGGCCTGATCCAAACACTTGGGAATGTTGCTCAAGTTAAGAAAAGCGGGCAAAATCACTCGCCTTCGGCTCGTGCTTTCGCTCGCTTTTCTTAACTCTCGCAACATTCCCGCGTGTTTGGATCAGGCCATCCAAACACGGAAACCATAAAGTAATTGTATATTAATATTATATTATTTGAATTGTAACTAGGGACCTTAATTAAACAAAAGCCTTATGGTTTCTAGAAGGTTCCTAGCCCTACTATTGTAAATATTTTCTATTTAAATTGTTAATTTTATAAACTGATTTGGGCGAATAGATTAAATAAATAAATAAATAATAACCTCCTCCGCAGGTAACTCTTTGGCAAAAATCTAAATATTAAAAAATTGGCAAAAATGTGAATATTATAGGCCCTTTATCCCTAGTGATCCCTAAGAATCCCTAACTTTAAATTCGTTGTTATGACCCATTGCACATGACTTCACAGCGCAGGTGATGATGCATCTGGAGGACAAATTAGCAATCTATGCATGATAGGCTATAACTTTTGTAAACGAAGCAAATTTTGTAAAAGTTAAAAAAAATTGTATTAAAATGGTTAATTTTTGCGCTGTATGTGGTTGTTGTACCCAAACAGATATTATTAGGGAGCATCTGGAAGACACTCTAAGGATTTGTGACGTCAGTGCAATGGGGCTATTCATAATCCTTTTGCCGGTTTTTGCCAAAGAGTTGCCCTCGGAGGAGACTACCACGGGAAGTTGTTTTTGTATTTTTATCTACAAAGAAAACGCCAGTTTTTTTATTATAATTCTAAACTTTTCAAAACTCGAACAGTACGTATGTTGTTAACTATAGTTTTTAATCTACCTTTCAGTGCAGGTGTGCATATATTTTTAATTAATATATATTTAATACGTTCAGTACTGTATTTCATAATGCTCACAATGTTCAACAACAACGTGACGGACTGAAATGATATTTTATATTGTCTTCAAGGCACTCCTGAACTGTCACTGAAACTTAGTAAAAACGTACCTGTTATTCAACCCAGTTCACATGTAGCTTTTTTATCTGCTGAATCCCTACCTCCTCCGCAGGCGCTTAGGGAGCATTTCGGGCAGGTTCGGAAAATCCCTGATCTCAAATTTCACGCCCGCAAACTATTCCCGCCCGCATCGAAAGGCCTGCGGAGGAGGTAGGCTGAATCCAATAAAGCTACGTTTACACGCTGCGATTAATCGTGTACGATTCGTTTTCTGGCGTATGTAATTGAGTAAACACGCGTAAGCTGGCTACATTTGAAATTTCTTTTTAACGAAACGGCAATGAATTATGGCACCAGCACTCATTTTAATACTCCAGAATACGAATCGTACACGATTAATCGTAGCGTGCAAACGTAGCTTAAAACTATAGTGCAGACAGTTACGAGTTGTTTTATATGAACAGTCAAACTCTATTTGAATGTTTTGAAAAGTTTTCACACCGATTTTCACAACAAAACTAAATTTAAGAAACGTTGCGTTTATTGTGTTCTCAATTTTTCGTTTTTGAACATATATTTTCATTTCAAATAAGTAAAAAATATCTTTGTGATACATATAAGCCAGCAAAAACTAAAAGTGAAAATTACTAAAAAAGCCAACTATAAACCGTACACGTTTCGTGAAGTTTCGTGTTCCTCATGCATTATAATTTACACGCATGCGCAAATAGTGATCATGTCAAATTGATATTTTGTCACGTCAACAGCTTCAACTGGACTTTAGGACTATTTTCCTCGCGTTTCCTTCTGGTGAATTTTTTTTAAACTTTTGCACACTTGCTAAGCATGATGAGTACTCAAACATATCAAAATTTCAAGAAATTCTACAAGACGGATTTTTTGTAGTCGTTATTCATGAATATTTCAAAAACTGCCTTGTAAACATCCCTTCAAATTATAATATGTCATTCCTCTTTGAACCATAAATCTTAAGAAAAAATTCAGAAAAATTGACCGAAGGAAAAAAAAGATATTGCCGTTTGATTGTAAAATTAGACAATAATATAAAAGTGCAACAGATGAAACGTCATGGTTGCCATGGCAACATTAACACTGTTTTTATTTATTCATATATCGACAGCATGAGACTTTCCTGGAAATGAACTTTCCTGGAAATGATTATATTTCCCTGTCTTAAGTGTATTCAATATAAATTTGGTTGAAAACGAAGGTTACTTAAAATACTTAAAATTTTAGAAAACTGTAGGGAGCCACCAAAGGATTCAAAAGGAGAGTTCTACCAACAAAATTCTCAAGTATTTGTAATTTCACGCAAAATACCGCTGGAATATCTCGGGCTCCTTATACAATAACATCTTGGAATACAGGACGACCGAGCCGGATTTTTGAGGGTGCACGTGGACGAAGGGTGGAGGACTGGGTGGAGGAAGGGCGGAGGAAGGGTGGAGGAAGGGTGGAGGAAGGGTGGAGGAAGGGTACCGCAATGACGTCACCATTATGTCTCATTATGTCTTATTATGCACGCAATGGAGTACGTCATAATAGACGCGTAAGAAGAGGGAAATATGAGGTTATATAAAATTTAATTTTATTCGTTTTTCATATGATTTTCATGTCGAGTAAACTATGACGTCATGGTGGCCGAATGGTAATGGCGTTAGGTTGTAATGTCCCAAAGAAAGGGGTTCGAGTCCCTTACTTGGCAAACATTTATTTATCAAAATAAGTTTAGTTGACAATATAAGCCCAATATAATCGTATCCGTGTGTATGCAACTTTCTGCAAAGGAGGACACTTATTTTGTACTAAAGTATATATACAAATAATAAATACTGACAATTATTTGATATTTTTATCGGCGTCATAAAGAAAGCACAGGCTTCACATGTATAATGCTATAATCATATATCTCTCGAAGCTTTTTGAAGGTTATATAATCATCCTCCTCCGTAGGCAACTCGATGGAAAACAATGGCGAAATTTACGCAACATTTAGCAGATTGAGAGCTGGTGAGGGGCGTGGCAGTAATTAAAAAGTCTGGTAATCTCATGATCGCCTGTTACTCCTATCATTTCTCTATTCTCATTTCTCTGTGTAATTCTGCCTTTGGCCATGGAGTTGCCTCTGGACGAGGCTAAGGTTATGTAAATCAGGACAAAATCTGTAATTTACAAATATTGAGTAAACATTCAACTTTTTTAATTTTCTTTAATCATTGTTCTAAAGTCACTTACAAACCTCGTTTCATCATTGTAAAGCTTGTTTTTCACCAGGCGAACTTGTTTGCGCAAAGCGAACACTGAGTGAATAATGTGTTCGTTTTCAAGTTTCTCGACGAATTGTTTTTCGCAGATGCCAATCACATTTAAAAGCCCTTTTATACTCGCTTTGTTAAGTATACTATTATATAGTATCATGTGAAAATATATTCATGTGGTAGATGAGCATTCGACATTACAGTTTCAACAATCCTGACCAGCTGTAGGGTATAATACTAAGTTCAACAAAATTCCACCTGTGACTTTACCGGACTACGAACTGTCCACTTACACTATTAGAGAGATTTGCTACGGGAGAGATTTACTTCTGACAAGGCAGCCATAAATTGCATAATTGGCACATAACTCTACAGGAATCCTGTCATGAAGAACGTCCCAAAGACTGTTCTTTTGGGAATGGGGCATTTCATAAAAAAATTGCGTAACTTTGTTCATCAAACAGGAAATAGTTGTGTCCGTTAACATCGTCCTATTATTTAATCCTACTGGATTTAATCCTGTTTCCACACAAGCTATTTACCATGGTTGCAATATGCTTATGGTACAATGGATTACGCCAAGAAATCATCAATGTATCCGTCTATACACTTATTAACCATTTATACTAGGGCAGGCTTATATATAATCACACTGCATTATACACTTTTCAATTAAATTAAAAACATGCCTGTCTGTTGGCGATGCTATAGTACAAAGTCTCGCAATTCTTCATTAATTTCTCGTAATTCTCGCAATGCATCGTCTCTATTGTTTATTTTTTTGCTATGCTTGCTGTTCTACGATGCAATTTTTCATTTATTTCTTGTCTAATTCCATACTACAACAGTCCTATATTGCAGTTTGTGATACCTACAAATTTACGAGGTTGAAAGAAGGGCTCTCTGCTGTAGGTAGGGTTATAAGCCTTGTAAAAGCGCTGATAATCCAGCTATTCTTACTAATTCTTCCTTCTTTCATTATACAATTTAAATATATACTTCTATTTTTCTCATTCTCCTTCCAAACCCTTTAGACATAATCAAAAGCGCATATCCTAGGTAACGATTAATTTGGCAGTCATGTTTTATGGCAATGTATTACTAGTATTGCAGTATATATATTATTATAACTAGATAAATATGATCATTCTGCTGTTATATATATAGTATTTTCATGAAAAATTGGACGGTTGTAATAAGGTTTTACTACAGCCACTACTGCACTACAGTCGAAAAATATACAAAACATTGGAATATAAACACTTTTTTCTGTACAGGTAACAAGGAAAGAAATTCTACAGCAGTCAACGAGGAGACGGAAGAATCAAATAATCTTTCAGTTGGCACAATTGTGGGTATAGTTGTAGCCGCAGTAATTCTAATCATTGCAATAATTATTGGCGTATATTATAAAAAGATAAAAGATTATTTACAATGTGTGGACCGTCCTCCCACACCTCCCCCAATTAGTTATGACCATGGCGTTGATAATGATGACGTGTACACAACCACTGGTCGGCATGCACGTCTTGACCAGTAGTTGGATTCAACTTATGATACTTTACCACATGCACATAGAGTCGAAATATAGAGACAGGAAATTCTGTCAAAATATGAAGTACCAATAGCACTGTTGTCCATTGTGTCACTGATGTAAACATGAATGCATTCTCCAGCTAATTCAAAAAAGGCTTTCCTTTGCAAATCTTAAACTCTAAACCTTAAACACTAAGCGTGCAAAGCAAATAGGAGCATCATTTAATCAGTTTAGAAATCATATACAGTATAGGGCCTATTTCTTATATTAGAGACATGATAATTAAAATATCTCCTTTCGAGAACAATTCATTCACAAATAGCTGCAATATTTAACTACTATAAGGCGAGACTTTTTTTATTTATTGGTTTACGGATTTTACTTGGAAAAAACACAGGTCGGTAGGTCGGAAAAAAATAAAAAAAAAACATTGTTTTTTAAGATTGTCATCACGATAACATGAGCCAGTAGTACTCTAGAGTCAAAGTTTACTTGGCGTGTACTTCATGTCAGAACCCCAAATTAACTAAAATTAACTAAAATTGTTGACATCCAATTTTTTTTTATTTTTCACTTTCCGAATATTTACGGTCGACGGATCCGTAAACCAATGAATAAAAAAAGTCTCGCCTAAGCTTGAAACTCGTGCTCCCATTAAGCTTTGCACGCTTAGAGTTTAAGGTTTAAGGTTTAGCGTTTCGGGTTTGCACAGGACAACCTTTTTTGAATTTTGAATTAGCTGTATATATAACGCAATAACTGTAATATAGTATTTAATAGCTAGCAGCTGTATATAGAGGTTCTTGCGCATGCTCGGAGCCAAATGCCGTTGAAAAGGTAGCCAAAATCTACCAAAAGAGGCCAAACGACAAAAAAGGACCGAAAAACGTTATGCATGGGAATTGCAAGTTAATTACAGCTGACAAAGGTATAGTAAGACAGTGGTTGTACTTTCACATACGTCGTTTACGCGTTCTGAACACTTTAACCCTCTGTATACAGCTACTTAAAACACTTTATTTAAACCTGGTTCCTTTGTCCAGCTAACGGTATCTAAAAGGTACCTATTACATGATTCAACACAGTAGAAAATGTCAACTTACTTGACTAAATGTGACGAATAGTTCAAGACCAGTATATCTTTATAATATCTTAGTGTTCACATTATAGTATATCCTTTTGATATCTCAGTGTAGCTCTTTATATAAACGACGAACTAACAATAACTCCGACTTAGCACGGCCTGCATTTTTATACTCGGTCAAGCATGCACTCACCATAAATTATCATATAGAATAAATTAGCTCTCGCATCTACAGTGGAGTGATGGACCAGTCAGAATATCATGAGAAAATATATTTTGAGTATGCTTAGTGATGACGTTTTTCTGTGTCTTCACCACTGCTGCACGACAAGCTATGGCAGCATCGACCTAGAGCCTTCATTCACATGTGAAGACTGCACTTTAAAGGGCCTATAATCACGTGCAAAAATTATTGAGACAACAATTCAATTTCCCCCCCCCCCCCCCGAAAAAAGTATGACATAAAGGTCAACTCCAATTTTTTCTCAGCATTGTCTGCTTGGGGCAGGCAGGGTGGGATGAACTTATATTTGCACTTGATGTAGCCTAGGCTCTACCTATGGGTAGTATATATCAGAAACACTTACTTTAAGACAGTTTGAGCTAAGTTAAAGGACAATGGCAACAAAAAAGAACTCTCATTTGAAAGAACTTTAAAATTACCTATAAAATCTTGTTACAGATTTTTCATACCTATAATGTTGTTGTTTTGTTTAAAACTATCAATGTGACAATACAATATTGATTTGATTACAATGCCGTCCTACGCCCCTGTCATGCAATCCTGTTTCTCTCGCGCATGTCCTTTTGCCATGTGACATTCTCATATGACTTTGTCTAGGTCACAATACTACATCCCTTTCTTCTTTTTAGAAGAGAACATCTATATTAATTAATTAAACAAATTGTACCTCAAGTTTGTTTAGGTTTATAATATGTCTGTAAACTATTTATAAAAATCCGGACCCCTTCTGTTCCGAGTGGGGTGTCTACGCAGCAGTTCTATGTCAGGCAGAACATCATCAAAATCATGGTGCTTTGATCTTTGCGGTGGCTTTTACTATTTGCAGTGATCATTGTCCCTGATATTTCTGTTATTTTGTATACGGCGGTATTTTGCTATTTGTTATTTTGCTGTCGGACTAAGTCGTAATCTCCTACTTCAGAATTGATTTTCTTGGCATGATTCCGTCTATCTGCATACTTTCATCTTCTCTTTCTCTTCGAGTCGTTGATAATAGCTTTTTCATGATTATCCTCATCCTACAAGTTCATGTATATATATATATATATATATATATATATATATATATATATATATATATATATATATATATATATATATATATATATATATATATATATATATAT